TATATCAACCTCTATGGGTTACTTAATGTTGAAATCTAAATATTTTGAACACAATTTTATGGCTTCAATTAAATACACTTTGAACGTAATTCTATGTCGACAACTACAGCTAAAACGTATTGTTGGTAATTCTACTAAAAAATTACATTGTTGGTAATTTTCCTATAAATAGGTATTGTTGGTAATTTTTTAAATATAAATAGGTGTTACTATAGAAATATATTTTTATATTTACATAGCGTGGGGCTTAACTATTTGACCATAGTTGGGGCCCTAACAGGTGCTACCATCCTGGATCAGCGTGGAACTGGGAACAACAGCAATTAAGCGATGGTTCCACTCTCCTCAAAACCTCCAATCTCCCGATCAGGGGCCTCGCTGTTGGATGTAGTTTATCATCATACCCGGGACTATTGAGTTACTTAAAGGTGAATATCATTCAAATATATGGATACACATGTGGTATATATGTGAGTTAAATGTGGCATTGAATTCTGGACAATTTAATAGCATAAAACCCAGGCTTTTTTTTTCTTCCAAAAATATATCTCTTATATAAAATGATGAGGTGGATATCTTCAAGGAAATTGTTTTACCAGACGTCATCGCTTCCCAGTAATTATACCGAGCTTAACTTCAAAATATGTTAATATGACACACAAACAAAGAATATTCTTATATACCATCCAGTACGGTATTTACAAAAATATTTTAAAGATACTTATTCAAGCCAAAGACATCAAGAAGTGTCTTAATTTTGATTGCAATAGTAAGATTGTTCTTTTGAGAAAAGGCTTTTCAAATGAAAATATATTTCGAGTATAGCGCAAAGGCAAGCAACTATATATATAAATAAAAGGCAAGCAAATATATATATATATATATATATATATATATATATATATATATATATATATATATATATATATATAAGGTCTGATGAATTGGATCGTGATTACGATTCCACTGTAATAAATTATAACCATCGAATATTAGTGTTTGAGCCTTTTATATTAAATACTTACTCTGTCCTGGACATTGAGTTCTACCTGGATTCTATCATCTTGAAATTTATATATATATATATATATATATATATATATTGACCACTGATATTATTATATATATATATATATATATATATATATATATATATATATATATATATATATATATTGACCACTGATATTATTAATATATATATATATATATATATATATATAAAAAAAAATATAGAAATATATGGAGAAATATAACTTTAAGGTGTGATAGATTTATGAGATAAAGGGATCAATATCAGAGATAGAGCGTATGTAAATATAAAGTGAACATTGAAGTCAACACTCAGAGGCGACAGACTGTTTCCTGCCAGACTCAATCTTCAGGTCGCCTGACGATTGCGTCTAGCATGAAACAGACTGTCGCCTCTGAGTGTTGACTTCAATTTTCACTTATATATATATATATATATATATATATATATATATATATATATATATATATATATATTGTAAAGTTCTTTTTCTTCTTTTAATTATTATTTTTTTTATCTGTGGTAAAATATTGCCAAAGAGTAATTTGAAATACCTAATTACCACAGCTCGCAGTCTATAAGTAAAAAGAGCAGTGTAGGAGAGTTATCTATGTACAATTTGGATGTTTTGTTTAGGTAGAGAGGGTTTTGCGGATAATATGTGCTCTTCTACACAGAGAAATCTTTTATAGCTCTGAGATGCTGATTTGTTCAGGAATTTTACTCACATGATTTTCGGTAGCCTTCTTTAATCTATCCAATGCCCCTATCACAAAAGGGTTGATTGTAGTTTTAAGTTTTCACATTTTTCTACTTCGATTTGCAGCTCCGTATAATTTTATTATTATTATTATTATTATTATTATTATTATTATTATTATTATTTGTGTATATTATGTTTCCTACTTTGTATCCTGTTTAGCCGGGTCCAAACTATAGTTCTTGGCTCTATATGAGAATAGTGATTTAACTGAGCGTACTTTTCTTAGTATATGCGATGTTCCTAGTATGGTGATCTTCTGGGCAACTTATATGTTGATGTTACCTGGGACCTGTAGTAAAATTGTCCATTCCTTTTCTCACGAGGCCCAGAGCTGCGGTTACTATTGGTACAGTCTCAGTCTTCATTACCCACATCCTGTTAATCTCGATCTGCATGTCCTTGTACTTGGACAATTTCTCGATAATTTTCATGAGAGCGTTTCTCTCAGATGCCACTGCTATGTCAATAAGCATACACTTTCTGAATTTCATGACTTTTATAATATCAGGTCTGTTGACTGTTATTTCCCTGTCAGTTTGAATTGACATGTCTCGGGTGATAGTTACATTGTTATTTTATGTAACTGTGTCTGGTTGTTACTCATACCGCTTCTCAGTGGTTTTGATTTTGTGCTTCTTGCATATCTTCCAGTGCACGTATATCGCTACATTATTATTTCTGTGGATATATTCATTTTTTGCTAGTTCTGGATATTCTGAAATAATATGGTCGACAGTTTCATCATATTTTCCGCAGATCCTGCATTTAGGGTTAGTTCCATCCTTGATTATGTCACAGTGATAGGATATGGTTGCGAGGCTTTAATCCTGAGCTGCAATAATTAAGCCTTCTGTCTCAGTTTTTTTTTTTTTTTTTTTTGTAATTTCATTTGGCCAAATTGTTTTGCTTACTAGTTTGGCGTAGATGGCATTCGTTTCATTAATCTGTTTCTTGAAGGGTGCAGCTTTATTGATGGAGTGAATTTGGCGCTTTACTATTTATAGAAAAGGGTCATCGATTTTTGTGAGGCATGTTTCCAATCTGTTGTAGTTTTTAGAGTTCAAGTTGAATTAGACCTCGGCCCCTTGGTACATACAACCTATCAACATCTGATTCCGAGTGGTGCATCCTCATTTGGATAAGGATTTTTCTGGCTTTGGCATCCAATCTTTTAATGTCATCCAAGTTCAATTTAATAATATTGAAGCCTTATGTTACTACAGGTATAGCTAAGATGTTGATAGCCTTCATTTTATTAACCCCATTAAGCTCGCTTTCTAGTATCAAACGCACTCTCCTATAATATTCTTTTCAGATCTTTTTCTACAAAATTGAATGTTGTATTCCATCTGCTTCATTATTTCCTAAGTATTTGTATGCACCATCTTAGTTCCTTAATCTTGTTGTTGATATCAAGGGCTAAATTGGTAGTTTTAGTTAATTTACCGCCTTTGAAGCTGACTTTGGTACATTTGTCGATTCCGAACTCCATCCTAATGTCTTCGCTGAAGGTTTTGTCAATGGTGAGAGTTTTCTTTTTTCGCTGGTTGTCATCCTTGGCAAACGTTTTCAGATCATCAGTATAGAATAGATGATTCAGTTTGCCATTCTGTGACTTGTATCCGTAGCTACTCTCGTTCAGCACATCCGTTATCTAAAAGCACCTTCGGATTTGTTAAAACACTTCCTAGATATTCAAATTTTTGCACTTGTTAAATTTGTTATCTCCACTTTGTAATTCGTATATTCGGTTATTTCCTTTGCTGACAACCATAGACTCTATCTTCTTGAAGTTGATATTTAGTCCTTTCCTCTTGCTTTCCTTCGCTAAACTTCTACAGAAAGTTTTTGTAGTTTCCTTTTCGTGTCAGCTATCACAGCTATCAACACGGTGTCATCAGCTTATGTCGTTAAGATCGTGGTCGTAAATAACGAATCCTGGTAGGAGTTCTAATTCTCTCAAGATTTCTTGAATAAGTCCGGCGAGAAGACACATTTTTGTCTTACGCCCCTTTCTATTTTTGTGTATTTAGTGAATTATTTTTCCATCTTCACACAAGCGGTTTTATTCTAATATCCTTCCAAAATAAATCAAGCTTACCTAGCAGTTCTTTGTGACATACTTTATCAAATGCATTTGCATAATTGATAAAACAGGTAACCATCCTTTTGAATTGCTCTTTCTTATATCATTCTGAGCATAAATATTACATTCCTTGTTCCAGTCGACATGACTATCATGTTCAACAGCTTTATTATTTGCTTAACTAAAGTTTCCATGTAACAGGATAAAATATTTCGGTAAATTTTCATTTTAAAACCCGAGCGTCATTCACTGCTGAACTATTTTCTTTCAGAAATTAGCACGCGCTTCCGTAAAGCGATTTTTTGTACTTAATTTAAGAAGAAAGTTAAGTTTCAAATATATGTAAACATCAACAAATGAAAGAACGTAAAGTTTAGTATAGAGCTTAGAAAAATTCTCAGTGTGAGATAGGCAAGAAGTAAGGCATGTAGCAACATCAGCACGGCAAAGGACACTTCTTTAAAGGCAAGGAAGGGCAAAAATATTTTAAGTCAACTGATAGCGATTGCTGTATGAATCGTACGATTTTTGAATCAAGCACGGGCAACACCGGGCCATGCTGCTAGTAATTCATAAAATGTAAGTATAGTAGCACTCTTTCTGGTATAATTCTGGGCATAAATATAGCATTCCTTGTTACAGTGTCTTCAACGAAGTTGCAGTAACATTGCCCTATTTCCGGTCTAATTCTACTGCGCGCTCTATTAATCAGAATTCGGATTATAAGTTTTTTTATGTGGCTCATTAAGCTGATTGCCTGATGGGGTTCGCTTTCGTTTGCATATCTTGTATCAGTAAATTCTTCTTTGTGCCAGTTCGTCGTTATGTGAACGCCTTGTGTAGCATCTAATGAAAGGTGATAGAGGAACTAAACAAAATGGATTTTGATAAAACAGAACCTGTTGTGTAGTTACGGTCTGTGAAAGTAGCTGGTTAACCTCTGCTCCGTGGTGAGGCGGACCAGTAAGTTCTGTTTTGATGCGTTGCATTACAAACGAAAACGAACGGAAGTGAATGCCGAAATATTTTACTGTCGAGTGGATGAACATTGTTTAAATAATGTTTTAGAGGAGGTCAGTTTCTTCAGTGTAATTTGAGTTTACTTACAAGTGTGAGATTCATGACAGAAAGAAAGAAAGAACGAAAGAAATAAAGAAAAAGAAGAAAAGAAAGAAAGGATGGAAAAAAAAGAAAAATAAAAGAAAGTAGAAAAGAAGAAAGAAAGGAGAGAAACAAGAAAGAGCGAAAGGAAAAGGGATAGAAAAAAGAAAAGAAAGAGGGGAAAAAGAAAGAAAAAGAGAAAAGAAAGAGAAAGAGGGGAGAAACTAAGGAAGAAACAAGAGATAGAATGAAAGGATAGAAAGAGAGAGAAGAAACAAAAGAACGAAACAATACTGAAAAGTTCGAAATATTGCACCAGACTTGAGGACTTGGTCTGGGAAATATACTTACAAGTCTACCAAGCCTTACTAAACATGATTTAGTCATTACTAAGATTCTCCTCCACCCATAAAGAAAGTGGTGTCGTTTAGTAAGAGAAGCTTAGATGGGTGGGTGATACTTATTTTATTTATTTTTTACGAGACTTTATCTAGTCGGAAAGACAAAGGCGAACCTGTGTCAAAAGGCAAACTATTTGCTTAGTTCTTCGTATAAGTCTGCAACCATGTAAACGAATATGGCTGAAGAGAAGGAATTGTTGCGGACGCAGAGAATGAGGAAGGAGAATTGGGTGGGAAAGGAGACAAGAAGTAACACGACGTGAAATGAGATGAAATTTTGAAGTAGGAGGAGGAGGAGGCGGTGGAGTGGAAGAAGAAGAAGAAGAAGAAGAAGAAGAAGAAGAAGAAGAAGAAGAAGAAGAAGCGGAGGAAAAGAAGAATGAGGAGGAGGAGGAGAAGCAGAAGGAGGAATAGGTGAAGAAGAAGAAGAAGAAGAAAGAGGAGGAGGAAAATGAGAAGAAAAAGAAGAAGGAGAAGAAGAAGAAGAAGAAGAAGAAGGAGGAGGAGGAGGCGGAGAACACGAGAAGAAGAAGAAGAAGAAGAAGAAGAAGAAGAAGAAGAAGAAGAAGAAGAAGAAAATCTTATTTGAGAAATGTAATAAAGAGACCTGCAAAAATAAGGAAAAAGAGAGTTTAAGAAAGAAAATAGATGTAGGGGAGGAAAAAAAGGAAAATGCAAAGTGTAAGGGTAAAGACTGAATTGAAAAAGAAGACGGCAACGAACAAGAGAAAAAAAAAAGAATAATGAAAATAGTAAAGAAATTTAAAAGAAAATGTTCCGGGAAAGAAAAGGGGATGAGAAGACGATGAAGTAGAGAAAAGGAAAAAGAAAGCGACAAAAATAAGAAAAAAAGAAACTGAGAAAGAAAAAGGAAGTAAACGATGAATTGCGTGTTGATTCATTTTTTACAGCTTATCAACCTTTTGCAGGTTATTTAAAGCCAGAAAATATTTTTAGATTGTAAGAATATTTTTTTAGATAATAATGGTTTAGTGATACAAGTATTACTAATTAACCCATAGCTGGAGTAAGAATTGGGGAATTCATAGAAAAAATAGAAGACGCCGAGAAAGAAACTGAAAAAAGATAAGAAAGCGTTGAAAATGAAAAAAAAAGAGAAAGTACAGCGGGAAAATAGTGGCAGTTCTAGAAAGGAAAGAAAAGAGAAAAATAAAAAGAAAGCGACAAGGAATAAAAAAAACAAAAAAAACATGAAGTGACCGAGAAGGAAAGTGAAGAAAATAATGAAGAGGAGGAGGAAAAGAAACCAAGAAAGATACAAAGAATAAAAAGGAATCGTCAGAAAAAGGAATTAGGAAAGGAAAAACTTAAGAAAAAAAGGTAAAGATGGATATATCAGCGAGAGGATAAAATGAAGGCACTTTATTGCTTGTGCAATCAGTCAATACGCCGTTTACAAAATATCAGAGACCAAGAAAAAGCGATTCACATGAACATCGGTCAGCGCTAACGTATATTATTATTATTATTATTATTATTATTATTATTATTATTATTATTATTATTATTATTATTATTCTATGTCGTCCGTTCATATCTATCTATAAATCTGTTTTAATTGGCTCATATCTCGTCCGTGCATAACTTTCAATCCAAACTATTTTCATGCATTGAATGAATATTAACAAAATAAAAATCACTTTGTTCGTAAATAATTTTTTTTTAATAATAATAATAATAATGATCATAATAAACATCACCCAGACCCGGTTATAGAGATAGGACATGTGACAATTTTATCTGACTTCACAATACATACAAACAGAACAATCAAAGCTAATCACCCAGACATAAGGATCAAAGAGCACAAAAAACAGAATGTGTTTTCTTTTTGACATGGCAGTTCCTGAAGATTGTAATATATCGATGAAGATCTTAAGAAAAAATATATCAAAATACAAGGATCTTGAAGTGGAAATCACAAAGACGTAGACGTGGGGGCAGTTGTATTTGGAGCCCTCTGATTGATTGTGAAGGGTCACGATAGACTCACTGAAGGGATTTTTGGTAACCGATGCCTTAAAGAAATACCAAAAATTGTACTCACAAATACAACTCAAACATTACGCAGGGCGTTAGTTATGTAAAATGTGCATGATGTTAGTATTTTGTTGTTGTTATTTTTTGTTTGTTTTTTTTTGCTTTTGTTTTCTGCAAAAATGATCAGTGGAAAATGCCATGAAGCCATTTCTGACTTTAGACCTCTGGTTGGTACAGAAATCAAAGGAAATAATAATAATAATAATAATAATAATAATAATAATAATAATGTACAGCTGGCCACTCGTATTTCAGGATACCCGTCTACTAGGGTGGCTAGCAAAATCCTATTGCACATGCTTGCTCAGGCGCATTTGTGCTTATTCAACACCTACAGAGCCCACCTGTGGTTTATACTGGAACTATGCCGAGTAGACCTTAGTTACAGTTTCTGGGAAAGAGCGTGTTATCTAGCGCGATCAGCAATTTGAACAAGGCCAGCATGCTCAAGCCCTCGGCCACGATGACTTGTGGCTTCATGCTAGCACAGCTATCGACAGCACCCAAGGGTTCCACCTACGCAATTTCACTCACAGGGTTGGATCAACCTGTGGTATGGTTTTTACGCACTTTCTAAAAGTGCCACACGCTGAGATCGACCACTCCAGTCCAATAACATAAGGAAATCTCTTTCCTGACAAATCGACTATGGTGAGATTCGAACCCGGATCTTAATAATAATAATAATAATAATAATAATAATAATAATAATAATAATAATAATAAACACTGCAAACAAAACAATGTTGCCTCCTTATTGATATGGCAGTCCCTGCAGATTGCAATGTATCTTTGAAGATCTTCAATGAGCTATAAAAATGCAAGGACCTTGAAATCGAAATCTCATATTGTGGCACATGTGAACCCCAATAATCTCTGTTGTCGTTGGAGCACTCTGATTGAGTGGAAAAGATTCCAATAGACTCACTGAAGGAATTCCTGGTAGACTATGCCTTAAAGAAATACAAAAGATTGTCCTCTCGAGTATAGCCCTTAAGAAGGGATTTATCTATGTAAAAATTGTTTTTTTTTTACTTGGTCAGAGGAAATATCATGATGCAATTTCTGACACTAGTTCTCTGGGCGGAACCAGGAAAGAAATGAGTACAAACCAGAAATCATAGGAAATAAAATAATAACATTAATAGCTAGAAATGACGATGAAAGGTTTTACCTGTTTGAATTTTCTGATGAATCATAATGTCTTAAGTTAGTCATTGTATAAATTCCTTTAGTTTCACGACTATAAAATATGCTTAGAAATTCTCCTATGGTATCGTTAAATATTTGAGATTCAAATATAAACAACCATCATTTACCAATTCCCAAACCAAGTATATGTTTATAGTCTCAAATATGAACAACTACTATTTTGCTGTCCCAGAACTAAGTAAATGTTTATTGACTCAAACATAAACAACCAATATTTACCTATCCTGTACCAAGCGTATACTTATAGATTTAGATATAATTTTAAGAGTAAGACTGATTCCTCCATTAAAATAAAACCCAAACCCACCCACATAAAGCAGCAAATCTGTTCTTTGTCTTTTTAGACAGAACAGTCAATCCTCGTATCAAAGTCTTAAAGTAGTTTAGACATTCAGACATCTGACAGGAAGTCGTATCATTTATTTATTAGAGTGGTGCAATGTTTTCAATTTCATCCTTTACACTATGTTAGGGAAATCTTAGAAGTGTCCTTTGAATTTACTCGATTTTATTGCGTGTAGAATCGGTTAATACGTCGTCTACAGTCTTTAAGGAAAAGAAATCAGAAACTAAGGATATACAATTCACATGAACATCGGTCAACGCTTAAGTATATTCATCTTCAGGACGTAGGTCATCATGGCTCTCCACAATTTCCTGCTCTTTGTAACACTTAATCTTACCTTTTTGTTATCTCGCCTAAATCTTGTTCTACAATCCATTTACACAAGCTGTCTAGCTAGGTCATGCGTTGTTTTGCTCTGTCCCTCTTACCTTCAAGATGAACGCTGAGTATCAAAATTTCCAAGCTCTCTTTCCTCATTATGCGCTCGATAAATTTCAACTGTCTTTTTCTTCTGTTAAATATAAGTGTCCTTTTTGTTTACATTTTCTCTAAAACTTCGTCATTGCTCACATGTTCGGTCCATAGTATTCTCAGCATCCTTCTGTAGAACCACGTTTCTGTTGCTTCAAGTCTATTCTACATCTGTGATGAGATGTCCAGCATTCGCTGGAGGATTGATATTACATAACAGTTCAGCACTATTTCTTTCTTTCTAAAGAAAATTTTCGGCTTTTTAATACTTTCCTTAGCTTTTGAAATGCATATTTCGTTATCCTAATGCGCATCCGGGTTTCGATGTCGCACTTTCCGTCCTCCCTTAAACCAATTCCCAGATATTTAAATTTTTGTACCTGTTTGATTTTGGTATCCCCAATTTGTAATTTGTATGTTAGACTGTTCCATTTTGCTAACAACCATATATTTTGCCTTCTTGCAATTGATGGTTAGTGCTTTTTTATCGCTTTCTTTTTGTAGGCGTTCTTGTAGTTTTATTTCTATCTACCAACACTGTGTCATTTTCATATCTTATGTTGTTAAAATTGTGGCTGGCAACAATAAATCGGTCCATGATATCCTCAGCATGAAAGGCGATTGTTCCGCTTTCCCTGTTATAATAGGAGGGTTGATATTACGTAACATTTTAGTATTCATTTTTTTCTGTTTCTTACGAGATTTTTCTATTTCCCAGTACTTAGCTTTTGGAAGGCATCTTTCTTTAATAAAATACGCCTTCGGATTTCAATTGTGAATTTTCCATCCTCTGCTCTGCAAATAAAAGCCTTTCTTTAGATACGATAGACACGGCCATAAAAATGGATTTATTACGTGAAACCTAATCATATCTACATCCAAGGGTACGTGGCTGGATGGTAATGGTAATGGTAATGGTAATATTAACCATTTCTTTATAAGGAAACATTTGGTATTCATTGACCAAGCAGACAGTACTGCTTTCAGTTGTTATTTATAAAATCTCTCTTAGGTTTCCTCAAGTTCAGTGGCTGTTATCAATCTTTCCAGTATTGATAAGTGTTTCCTTCCTTGCCTTTTCCTTTGAGTGGTGTGGAAAGTCAGCAGCTTGATTATGTCATTATTTTCACTTTGACTTACATGTGATATTCATTTTAGTTGTCGCTGCTGTCGGTAATCTTCAAGTGATGTGGTTTATATTATTTGGTACAGTTCTTTGTGATTTTGTAGCGCCAGTCCACAAGGTTCAAAGAAGGATGATCTTTGCCAAGAATCTCAGGTTTCAGTCACTCAAAACCTTTTTCACCAATGATCTTAGGAAGCAGTTGTATACAGATGGAAGTTTAGATATTTCTGAACGATATGGCACCATGTATGGTATCCATATGAAAGTCTTTCACTTGTTCAAAGTCAGTGTTATCCATGTTAGAATGTGGTTGTATACAGCTGAAAGTGGTCGTATACAGCTGAAAGTTTAGATATTTTTGAACGGATATGGCACCATGTATGGGGTCAAACCACACTGAAAGTTTAAAAATACATTTTTATAGTAAAAATACCAGCAATAGATTTTAATAGTAAAAAAAATAATTCCAGCAATAGATTTTAGTAGTAAAAAAAATTCTATCAATAGATTTTAATAGTAAAAAAAAAAATCGGCAATCAATTTTAATAGTAAAAAAAAAATTCGGCAATAGATTTTAATAGTAAAAAAATATATACATTTCAGCAATAGATTTTAATAGTAAAAAAAAAAATTCGGCAATAGATTTTAATAGTAAAAAAATATATACATTTCAGCAATAGATTTGAATAGTAAAAAAAAAAAATTCCGGCAATAGATTTTAATAGTAAAAAAAGTATATACATTTCAGCAATAAATTTTAATAATAAAAAAAAAAAAATTACGGCAATAGATTTTATTAGTAAAAAAAACAAATTAACAAAGCTCTCAAGAAATTAAATTTCGGCATTAAATGACCTATAAGGAGTTGATATGGCGTTAAACAATCCAAACCAAACCTTCACAGAGACTAAGACATTGACACACAACCGTGATATTTTGTGGGAGCTGGTCATATGCTCAGCTGCACTGCGAGCTACGACCACACCCGATCACGGGACTGATGATGCTGATGATGTCAGTCTGGTAGAAATAAGCCTGTTGGCAATACACTAGGACGGAAATTGTATTTCTTCTTTCGAAAAAGAAAAGTCCAGTAACGTATTTCACCAAATTGCCAATCAACTTTAAAATAAATTAATTAATGCTTAATAATAATAATAATAATAATAATAATAATAATAATAATAATAATAATAAATGGTTTACACTATACACCCACATATATGTATATATATATAGACAGATAATAAAATTTGGATGTGCATCCATGCGGAAAAAACGGATTACAGATAAATATAAAATACCTAACGCCGAAAGATGAGAGTGTCTTACATCCATACAAGAATGTAGGGTCCGTGTTCGGGGAGGGCATCGGGGCCACGCTTCTCCTGGCCGATGACAATTGAGGAAAACCAGAGTGAAATGAAATGTAATATTACGTATGAAAAATTAAGTATCATATGTTCCTTTGTAATATCTGACTATACTTTATTATAATGATAATTCACAGATAATAAAGAAAAGGAATCTGTGGAGAGCCATGACCATGTATTGAAAAGACAAGGCATTTGAAAAATGAAGATAGCAACAACAAAAATTTTCATGCATCTAACACTCTATCTTGAATGGTTCTTAAGCCTTGCAGGAGTTGAACTTTAGTATATATATATATATATATATATATATATATATATATATATATATATATATATATATACTTTTTTGTATGCATAAAGGGTGTTCCAATAACTTGGACCGATTTTAAATGTAAATTAAGTTTAAGCGTCTAATGATTTTTTTTTTTTTTTTTTCAGATTTAACAACTTTGGCAATTTCAACCATGGAAAGATGAAAATCAAACAATGTGTTAAAGTTATCGAAACCTATTACGAAAATGGACGTTCAAACAGAAATACATTGAAAAGTTCTCGGAAAAGTTTTCTCGAAACAGTAAAGTCAATTGGCCACCACGATCGTGTGACTATGACGCCTTTAGAGTTCTTCCTTTGGGGTCATCTCAAAAGTAAGGTCTATACCAACAAGCCAACGACAATTCAACAGCTGAAGGATGAGATAATAAGGCATATTGGTGAGATCGAGGAGCAACTATGCAGAGACGTCATCAAAAATTTTGACCATCGAGGGGAGGTGTGCTGCCGTAGACTTGGCTAACATTTGGGCGATATTATTTTTCACACCTAATTGCCATGACTTAAATAACATGATCCAATAGAGAAATAAATAAATTTTCACCAATAACATTGAATTATTTACTGCTGACTTTAATCCTTCTTAATGAAACACTCTTTATGTACTTTTTCACCCATTAAAATGGATAAATGGAATTTATTTCTATTAGATCAGTTTTTTCTGTTTTCTACACATATTTAGTTATTTTTTTATCTGTGTACAGTTAATTATATTAAAAGTATGCTTAGTCATTAGTTAGAAATACAATAAATTAAAAAGTTTGTATGTGCACGAATATTTGTTCCCCTACCTACCTATATATATATATATATATATATATATATATATATATATATATATATATATATATATAAGCAAGTGTAAATGGATATAAATCCGACAGAATGAAGAAATTTTGAAAAAACAAACAAAAATCCTTAAATGTAGTTAAAATGAAAGAAATGTCGACGTCTGACGTTTCGGTTTTTATGTCCATCGTATTTGTCATATTGAACTGAATTGTATTTTGATGAATATTGTCTTGAAAAAGGTTTATTAAACCGAAACGTCAGACGTCGACATTTCTTTCATTTTAACTACATTTAAGGATTTTTGTTTGTTTTTTTTCAAAATTTCTTCATATATATATATATATATATATATATATATATATATATATATATATATGTATATAGTCATCCAGAAACAAACTGTTTCGCTGTATCACAGCTTCTCAGTGTGGCTAGACGTCCGATTGCTTCAAGTCATAATCAGAAACCCGACTGATATGACATCAGACAGATCTCTTACCTCTAGACCATCGTAGCACCGCAGGGAAGGAAGGGAATTTTAACGTCGTTCTCTCCACGAAACACACCAGGAGCTCATAGAACTCAATTCAATTTTTTTTGAAGAGTAATGTTTACACACACACACAATTATATATATATATATATATATATATATATATATATATATATATATATATATATATATTGTCATCCAAAGACAAACTGTTTCGCTGTATCACAGCTCCTTAGTATGGCTAAACGAAAGGAAGGGAATTTTAACGTCTTTCTCTACATGAAACACGCCAGCAGCTCATAGAACACAATTTCATTTTTCTTGAAGAGTAATGCTTATATATATATATATATATATATATGAATTAACTTTTAAGTCAATTATGTCCAATGCGTGATACACGCTTAAGCGATCATGTATCTTTCGATACATGACAGATGAAGCAGATTTTTTAGCGCAGTAGGTTGTCATTTCTTTCTGCGGTAAACTTGTTGCCATGCAAGGCTATAGAAACGAGTCTGTCCTACTATTTAATCATAGTTGGGGGAGGGAAGAAGAAAAAGATTCATTTCCCAAGGGTATTAGCACGTAAGTGAATATAATGAATTCGACTGGAATTCGAACTCGGCTCTCCGATTCCTCAGTCCGAGCCGCTATCCATTATTCAAGCGTTATGAATAAAATAAATATTAATTATTTTATTCAAATATTTTTTTTAATGATAATATTTTCTCTATGATATTTTTTTATCCACAATGCAAAATTATGAGTTTTTCTTTTCCCCTACAACCGAATCCACAAAACTTTACCTTTGTTAATGTTTAATCTCTGAATGCGTTCTGTAACGGTCGTCATAGCAACAACTCTCACCCATGGTTTAGGGAAACATATCTTGTTATCCACCAAAACACGTGACCGTAGTAAAGGATTAATGTCCTCAAGGGCGTTGTATGATCTATGAACTGTAAACAT